TATTCCTTATCCTTCAAGAACATTAGTTGGACTGTGCTCTGCTGCGACTAATAATTGATAATTATGGTTCCATCCACATGGGATACTGTAAATCTTGGTGCTTGTCTTGGGATGTAGTCCTTTGGAGGAGTAAAATGCTAGAATTACTAGTTGAATTGATGTTTCTGAAGCATCCTCTCCCATAAAGAGTAGAGCTGAACAGCATACAGTTTTTAAAATATTACCTTAATAGATCTGTGAGGTAATATTCCTTGTTTAAAAAAAGGAAAGGCAGAGAAGATCAGGTATTCTCTGGTAAATCCTGTGGTTATTTCAGATGTTATATTCTCAAAAAGTCTTCTATTACAAGGCTTATGCCTCAAAAAAGGAGCCTGACATAGCTTCCTCTCTCTTACTAAAGCTCAGAGAGAGATGCATACACTGAGACACTGAGTCAACAGGAGCAGGCTTACATTTCTTTCTGGTGATCCTGTAATGGAAACTGTAACTCCTGGCAGGGAACTGTTAATCCCCCAATTCATTAAAATGGATGAAGAACCCATGGAGATTTAAACAAATACCGGCTTTGATAACTCACTGGAAATCATACGGAAGAACTGAAGTAAAACAATACGTTTCAGTAGGGCTTTTTAAATTAGAGGTAAGTCCACAGGTTATGTTTGCAGTTAGCAGACAATGGAGACAGGAAAACTATGTGACCCCTTCAGTTTCCAATGCTTGCTGCTCACCAGTTAGATGATCTTTCTCTTGAAAGAGCACACATGAATTTAAATATCATATCTGTGTACGGATATCAGCAGTATAGGTCTTGCCATACACCTTCTCCACGTTTACCAAAACACCAACATTTACATGCATATGCATATAAGTTTTAGTTTAACTTTAGATCTCAACTTCCCTGTCTTTTTTTTTTTTTTTTTCCCAGCAATTAGACCAGCAGATTCTGACTCACTTCAAATGTAAATTGGCGTTCGTTTGTTCGTTTTGTTGTTGCCTTGGTTTTTTAACAAAACTCAGCTCTGTGTTGGTGAGCAAGAGAGAATACCTGTGGCTGGAGGGATTTAAAGAGTTTAGGATTTATACACTTCAACAAATAGCAGGGGAAAAGAGCAGGGCTAGATTTAACTAGAACCATTTCTGATTTGCATCCTGAAAGGCATTTAGCAAACAAATAATTTTAAAACAAAAAAAGTCTCACTAAAGTGGTCCTCTTTTCTTTGCCCACTCACTCAAAATCACAGAACTATCACAAAGAAAAATCTTCAGAGACATCACTGCTAATACTGTTGCCAAAGACACAAAAACCTTTACAAGGACAAGTATTTTTTCTCCTGACACCTTTAACGCACAGCATATCAAGCTAGTGTCACAAGCAATGCAAGCTCACTGCATAGGAGAGGCTTTAAAAGATACCTGCCATGAACATCCATATTCTTTTTGTTTATTTATCTCTGTGCAGATTCCCCTTCTACATAAAATAAGCTGTTCTTAGCATAAATCATCTGGTGGCAGATTTTCATTCTCGAATGAAAATCTACAGTACTTCAGTGGAGTATTTAGCATAAGGGATGAGTCCATCCCCAATCAATTTTAATCACACTGAAAAAATTGTGCCTGACATTTCATCAAAAAGTCACATTTCTATAGAAGTATCATGAAGCAGGTAGAAATAAATCAAATGTACCCCCAGGAAACTGGCAAAGTTACTTGTAAAGAGCATCTGGGAGATCCAGGGTCAAGAAGGATGAGCTTCGCTCCATCTTGAAAGCTCTGTAGTGCTGCTTACAGGCTGGATTATACAATTTACAATTATGTATGAATAACAAAATACATAAGCACAAGCAGATATGGATATACATATGTGTGTGCAAATGTATACAAGCAACATAAAAAGAATGGGGAAGATGAGGTAATACAATTCGCTTAGGAAAATTCTACTTGATAGTCAAAGGACTGTTAAGCATATTCACCTTGTACTCATTGTAGAGGTAATTAAGAGAGATGGGTATCTCCAGAGGCTAATTTAGTCCATTGCTGTCTTATAAAGTAATTAGGCTTCATCAGGTAAGGAAAAGCTTGGGCCCTCATGTTGCCAATAGTCTTTAAATGAACACCTGAATTTCATCTGTGGTTTGAGATCTACAGAATGTTTCTTTAGCTCCTCTCAAAATGTTTGGATGTTGTGTTAAACGACTTACTGGCAGGATATTCTTGCTGCTGTTTCTGGCAAAAAGAATCTGGAAAAAAATATCCTTCAGACTGTTAAATTGTTTCAGTTTGCTTGTTTGTTGCTTTTATGTTTTTAAGAAAAAATTAAAAAGACAAACACACCATTTTTACATCTAGAATTCTGGTATGCTTTGAAGTATACTTTATTTTAAAATGCGTTTAATCTACCAGAGCTCAAACTGAAACAGTCTGTCTAGAAAGGTTTTGTTTTGCATTCTTGACTTAAAGCTAAAACAAATTAACCTTAGATTCATGATAAAACATTAAATTCTGACTCACAAACAAAACAAAATTCACCAATTTAAAGAAAAACAACCAAACAGTGCATCTCCCCCACTTCTGAAATAGTGTAAATGTCACACGATCGCATGTTCTTTTATTAGAAAAGCCCTTCATCCATCTAGAATATGCTACCTGGGTAACCTGTGTTACACATAAACTACTTTCCAGTGAAAAAAAAATATCAAGCTCCAGAACCAGTGCAGTGCATAGATAAATGAAAATAGCTCAGCAATGACATTCAAAATACAGGATTTTTGTCTTGAAATATTCTTCCCTCCTACATCTGGCATTACTCACCTGAAAGATCTTGAGTGAAATCCTGATTGCTTTACAGCAGCTAGATGTTAAAGGATATAATCTGTTCAGGCACATCAGAAAATCTCTAGGCATCTACCTACTTAATTATGTAGGTTAAAAGCTCTAACAATCTGACCTGAGGAGACTATTGACACAGGGGTTCAGTGATATTAATTGTTCTTAGATCAGTCAGGACTATAGGATTCAGCTTTTGCTCATAATATACATAATTGCTGAATATGATCCTAAAAGCAGATAAATCTTGCATTCCTTATGGCTGCCATGACCTTATTTTGCCACTTTGACTGTGAAATATATGTTGAAAATACTGTTCAACATAAAATAATGACTTCAGTAGCTATGAAGAATAAATAACCTCTTTTAACTGAAGAGTTTTAAGGACTAGCACCAGGAGAAGAAACCATGGGACTGAGACATTACAGCCACGGTTCCATTAGAATAAAGGGAAATGCATTACATTTCATAGACTTATAACTGTTTGGACATTCATTATCAAATAAACTGGAGATGCACTTAGATGCCTGTGGAGATGAGTGCAGTGTAAATGCAAAGAATGAAAACTACACCATAAATCAAGGTTTTTCTTTGTTTCTTACTGCAGATGCAGATTTCTATCAGCCCTCATAGAAATTGCAGATGTCTGCTTATGTATGTATGTCTGGAGGTGCTGCTAAACATTACTGGCAACAAGTAAACATTAAAGGAAAAGAAACAATTTCCTAGGGTAATCTATGGTAAGGGTAGCAAGCAAGTTGCTTGCTTTTGCAGTTATTGCTCAAAAAACATGGGAGAATCTTCCCTTGTTTCTTAAGTAAAGGGCATGTGAGAAATCTTCAGTCTAATGCAGGCAAAGACTGCCTAATCAGACAATCAGACACTAGTTTCAGAATTTTACTTCCTTAAAATCCAGACTGAAGTCAAAAGCAGAAATTAACAGATGTTGTTTAAATTCAGTGAACAGCTGCATTAAACAATTAAATATATCAAAAAAAATGCTTGCAAGAAGTCAAAACATTTCAGTGACTGCTTAACACTTTCTAATGTTTTAAATTTTTTTCTGTTTATGCTGACATTTGTGACATTTCACTTTCATCTTCTTTAAATTTGCAAGGAAAACATAAGAAATGTCTATAGACTAAGAAAGCATTTAGCTTGATCTATATGAATATATTATGTACATTTAACTTTTTTATTCAATGTAATTTTAAAAAAATATGACAGTGCAGAAATAATGTTTCTGGTTGACCAAAAAACACCCAACAATCAAAACAACAACAACAAAACCCACTACAGCCTTCCTCTTCATCACTTTTATTCATCTTCTCAATCTTAAAGTCACCTATTTGTACAGGCGTCATTTTCACTGAGAATATGAAAGATGTTCTCTAAAAGCTGAGACCATTTTTAGAAAGTAAGGCTAGAGGTATGTGGATTTATTTAGCTGGAAACTAAATCAGACACTTTTCCAGCAGCAATAATGGCTATGAAATGTATCTATCACCTTATTACATCTCCTTTCTCTTTCTTTAAAATACTGACAGTGATCACAGGAATCAAATCTCAGCCTGATTTAGGAGGAATGAGTTGAACTGAATGGCAGTTCCCCATGTTGCTCATACCCAGTGTAATGTGCAAGCTTCCAGTCAGGATGAGATCCTCTGGAATTCACTTCCATGGCAGTATTTCAGGTACACATTGAACTTGTTCCAGCTATTCATCCATTAAAAAGTAAATAGATTTATTAATACTGAGGGACAGATCCAAGACCTCAGTCTCTTTATTAGTTATATTTCTTGCTAGTGAAGGAATTTGATATTGCTTTATCCTCAGTACAGTGCTTTTAGTTTTGTGTGCAGGAATGCATTTGACTCTCTAGTATAAAATACCATCATTATCCTGAAGCAGGCACAGTGAAGCATAGTTTGAAAGTAATGCTCAGAAGTAACAAATTACCACCACAATACTTAATGACATGGTGCTTCCTAAGCAGTACAATCTAAACTGAACAAAGACTCACTCCTTTAAAGTGCTGTTTCCCTATGCCCATGTATTACATATCAGCAAAAAATGGCCACATTTGTTGAAATTCAAATCAAAATTGAAGGTTTCTATTCTTATATATTCTTATATATTCTGTTTTTCTGAAAAAAAGAAAAAAAATAAAGAAGAAAAAAAAAAAGGGGGAGTTGGCCCCATTTAATTTGTACCATAGTTCAGTTGTAACATGAGAAATATCAGGATGAAGAATCATAAACGCATAAACGAGCGTGATTTCTTACCTAGTAGAGTTTTTCTACAGGTGCAGAAGTAGAAACTTCCTTGCTTGGTTCGTGCAGAACAAACGCACTTCTGCGGCAAAAGTAAATACTTAGGGTCCTTGGGTTCTTTTGGGATATATTTTCTTTTCCAGTCATGGTGCCCATCCCTACAGCTTTCACAAGTGACTGTGTTGGGAGTCAGATAAACACTGTTCTGGGTGAAAAATTAGTTTTAAGAAGGCTAGTTTCCACATTCCTAACTTATCTGAATTCTTATCCCAGCATAGAACCTCTTGTAAACAGTCTGTTAAATATTTTTAACAAGACAAAATATACAGGCTGCATACACGAAATAGTGGCCATGTAGCATATAAACATACACATTTCTTTTCACTGCTAGGTTGGAAAGTGTGCTACAAGAGCAGTAACACAGAATGAGAGTACAGAATAATATGGGCCAAGAAGAAGGATCATGTCATCTGGAAGAATGAGATACCATAGCATGGTTTGAATTGGAAATGATCTTAAAGATCATCTAGTTCATCTCCCTGCCATAGGAAGGGATACCTTCCTCTAAACCAAGTTGCTCAAAGTGCTGTCCAACCTGACTTTGAAATGTCTGTATCTACTTCACACATCTTGAACAAGGAACATCCTGAAGCTGATACTCCGAGATCAGGTCACCTTCAAATCAGATTTCTCTGGGATTTCTATGCAATTAATATTACCAGTGTGTTCCATGATAAGAAAGTAGCCAGACAAAATTCACTGTACTGCAGTCACACGTGCACCATGATTGTTCCAGTATTATTTCTATGATCACTGCTGGGAAGAAGATTGCTAGTACATTTTCTATAAAATACACTGGCTAGTACTGGAGTTCAGTTACACAAAACACTTTATGCAACAAAATAAGATTTCCTCTGGGATCAAAATGCCTTCATTCTTTTGTTAATGTTTTCTGCATTCAGGATCCTGTGTTAATGATACCAGGCAGCTGTCTACTCATGTCATAACTGCAGTTCAGACCTATTCTTACCCTGAGGCTTTTACAGTTATTGATAGCCAAATGGTGGAAAAAAGAAATGCCTTTTCTCCATCTTACAGATAAAGAGCTGAAAGAAAGTAAACTCACAGCTTCATGATACCTAAAGTCAGTCTTGGAATAAATATGCAGGCAAGTGTTACTCCTCAAAAATATTACAAGACTTTACTAAGGTTGTACAGAGATCTTGGTGCATACTCCAGCTTTCTACATCCTCTCTCAGTGCTCCAGTAGCATAGCAGCATTCCTTTCCCCTGCTGATATTATTAATTGGGGTAAACCATCTTCAGAGAAGTCACAACGTCCTTTATGTATCACCAGATTTGTAAGTGTATGCTGACCCAGACCTATCTCTCAGCAGCACAAAAAGAGCATTTAGTAGTTTTATTCACTTCCTCATTGTTGGTATGTCAGGGTGGTGATACGAATTCATTGCTGCTTGTCAGCTGTCTGGCATCTTCTGACAGTGTCTGCAGGAAAAGTGAGTGGTTATATTTAAGTATCTGTCAGTTAATATGACAAAAGACATGAATATTTCTCTGGGATTTGCAATGACCTTTTCATTTGCCTTGAAGAGTTGTCTTCCTCTGATCAAGAAACTAATTAGGTTGCTGAAAGTTGCTGTACATCTCTATCACTGGACTGTGGAAATGCATTTCTCCATATGACAGGGACTCTGCAGGATATTTCCATTCTTCCTAGAATCCTGTGGCTACAAATAGTTAAACTTTCCACAGATCTGAGGCATGGGATTCATACTGTGAAAGTGATAACAGAATGACAAACCCTGGCTGCAAGCAATTGCATTGTTTGGTAAAACTAAATTGCCTTCAAAAAGTTGAGTTTCCTCAGTTCACCATTCTGAGTTGCTATCGGTACAGTCCCATAAAGAGATCTCAAGTTGACTGTTCTTGAAAGTGGGCTAAAAGAGTAAAAGCAACCATATACCAAAGACAGTGTCAGAAAACATTATCATTGAACATATATGAATATGAATTTTGATAAGATGAGAAGAGCATGTCTGAAAAAAAAAAAAAAAAAAAAGGCGTAAAAATAGCTCTTTCAGTGACAGCTGTGTTTGGGGAGGCTTTTGTCTTCACTGCATAATGTAGATGAGCAATAAGACCATGGATTTGCCTACCGTTCTATACTGGGTTATTTGCTATTTTTATTATATGCTAGGTTATTTGCTACTCAGTTTCATGACTTGCTGAAGACAAACTAAGGGAGTGCCAGAAGCACATGCAAGGAAGCTTCAGGCTGAGTAACGTCACTTAGACTGTGCAAGAAATGTAGACTCAGGCACTTAACCATACACCATGACTATTGTGGAATACACTAGTTTTGAAATAATCAAATCACAACAAATATACAAGAAAAATGTGCTTCCAGATCAAGAGTACCTTTGTTCTGAAAGTCCTCCGTTCACTGCAGATTTCACTGTCCAGAAGTTCTTTGCTAAATTCTTCAGATTGCGCTCCTCCATAATACAGGCCCTTGAAGGGGGAAATACATCTTCCCCAGTAGCTGTGGAAGACCAGCCTGCCAGGACCTGCCAGAACAGGGGGTGCTTGACCACCATTCTGCAACCTTCCCTCTTACAATAGTCAAAAACTGAGAAGGTCATGCTGTCCTGGACCCTGTTGCTATTCCAGACATTGACTCCACTGCTTGCTGATACTGTAAGTAGAACCAATTGAAAATCCTGCTTGAAATGTTTGGGTTTAATTTTATTTTTAATCTTTTTTTTTTTTTTTTTTTTTTAAATTTTCTTTATCTGTGAAAATTTTTCTAGTTTATGAAGAATATTAACTTTCTGAAATTTAGGTAGTTCAAATAAATAAATATTAGATATACGCTAATATCTAATAATATCCTATTTTTTCCTTTTACTTCTGCACTTCCCTTTTCTCAGCAGATGAAAGATGGGGGTTGGGATGAGTTAAAAATACTCAAAATATCTCCCAAACATATTTCTTTTTCAAAAAACTTAAGTACTTCAAAAATGGTTTTGGTTAATTTCTAATACACAAAAGCTTTTTTACTTTAACACTTATTAAACCACAACATCAATTTCAGAAGTTAGAGACTATTTATTTGGGATGATTCTGATTCAGAATTCCCCAGGACATGAATTTTGAGCTCTATGAAGTGCTTTCATGCGTTATATACGGCAGGTTTGTCACATTTTCTGAGGTCGGTATGCTGGTTTTATAAATACAAAAAGTGTCACCATGCTGACATAGCTAATGGTCCGGTCCTCTCACCAACCATGAACAGAACCAGCCGCTCCCAACAGAATAAGCAGGAACTCAGCTTTTGAAATAACTGACTTAGGAAGAATGCTCCCTCCTAACCATCATTAGTTAGTTAATCTACTATAACAATTTTTAAAAGCACATAATGAAGAACAAGCCAAATGACATTAAGAATGCTGCATGACTAAAAGGTCTCATTTAGTCAGCTGCAGCTGAGCAATACAGCTGATCAGTGAAAGCAATACCAATGAAAAAAAAATCTGTAGTGCAAAGCATCCCTGTAGTTTATTTCCTTTCCTAAATAAAATTCTTGCTGGATCACTTTGATACGCAAAATGCATCCAAACAAAAAACTTATTGTGATATCATTGCCCAAAGGAGTCGGCATGGTTATGGTTGGTTATGACCATATTCTAATAAATTTTTGATAGTTATAGATCTGAGTACATAGAGATCTCTGATAAATGGGATTAATGGACTAACACTGAAAGGAAGTGAATTAGATACTAATGGGATGGGCCTATCTGAGATTCATTAGAGAGTGCAATAACCTCACAAGTTAGATGCTCCATCAAACATGGCACTTAAAACCAGGATTGGAGAAGCACTGAGCTGTTCAAACACTCCACTGGTGGGTGAATGCACAGGAATGGAAAAAAAAAAAAAAAAAAAAAATACCCAGGTCATTCAGTACATCCAGACATGCAGTTGCATAGGGTAGGAATCAACACCAAATTAAGGTATTTAAACAGAGATATCTATATCTGTGTACCTACACTGAGTCTGGGTGTCTAAACAGCAACTGTAGTCAGGGGAGATACAGGTCTTCCTAAAGCAGAAAGGGGCTGGTCAGCTGCAAGAGCAGATTTCCAGCCTCTGTGACAAGTTTTTATTGACTGTACTGATAGTTCAGACATCAGCGCACTGCTAGGTACCTAGGATAAAGTTCTCAACTGAATTCTAGCTGTCTTTTTGTGAACATCATCAAAGAAACAGTAAAACAAACACCATTTGTTTCTATAAACCAGTGGTGTGAAAAAAGATGTATTATAGAAGGGTGAAGTTTCACTTTAGTGTTCCAATTTACTGCATATAGAACTACTTGAAAAGTCCTGGGCTATCCAAGATACTCATGCAAGTTTGGCAGATAAAAAATGGGTCTTGCATAAGAATGTGTTTAATGAACTGGTAGACCAAGAAAAATATCCTTTCAAATCCAGGAGAAAAAACAAACAAACAAACAAAAAAAAAAAAAACAAAGAGTCAATTTGTAAAGTCCAGGGAAAGCAAAAGAAATGGCGTAGAACTAGAAAGACTGAGATCTCCAACTGATTTTTCGGTTTCATTTCCCTATGTGGGAGACTACTGTCTTTTATTAGTGCTTAATTCATCCGTTGATAAGTAATCATTCTTTATATTTTCAGTAAGAGAAATAAAGTGAGCTTATTTTATTCAGTCTTCAGAAGTGCATTTGATATGTTGCAACATGGGAATATAATAGCTATATTGCAGAAAATAGTTATTAGTAGAATAACTACAGGGCAAATCATGATTAGAGAAGAGATTACAACGGCATATGCTAAAAGGAGAAATATTTAACTGAACAGAAGTTATTAGTAGAATTCCCTAAACCTGGCATCAGAGTAATATTTCTCCATTGTGCTAATGAAATTTGCTGTAACAGATTTGGAGGCACTAGACAAAGTTGAAGAAAATCTGAATACTACATAGTATGAATGAGATGACATTAAGATCAAAATTAATTGAAATCAGATGGCACTATAAAGTTCAAGGACAAGCTACTGAAGACTACAGTCAATTTTCAGTATAGAATATAAATAACACTTATTAGTGAATCATCAATAGGAAATGACAGGAAAAAATAACGTTTAGGTGAATGACTGAATGATCGGATTATCATGAGTCACTAGAGCAATGTGATTGTGGAGAAAGTAAACATTAATTTACATACACGAGGTGAGATTTTTCTGGGAGAAACAGGGATACATTTAATACTGGAATGGCATTGGATGAGCCACAGACTCTGATGTCAGTCAGAACCCAGAGATGTTGTTCACCCAAGACTAAGGATACAAAAGAGAGGTGGGAATGAGCAGAGGAAAGCAAAGCAGTTAAAGGAGATCATAAAGTCAGAAGAAAGACTAGAAAGTTTGCTTTGCTTCACCCTGTAGAGCAAATGCCAGGAGAAGTCAGAAAATTCCTCTGAGATACTACCTAGACAGTCAGAGTTGTAGGAAGGCATATCTGAGGATCCTCTCATCCAACCTCAGCTTAACTTAGAACAATCACCATTGGTAGTTCGGGTCAACCACAGTTCTAACCACAGTTCTGTACAGATAGGTTTTAAAAATCTTTTAGGATGGTAATACCATATCTTCTCCTGTGATTAATGCCAGTACTGCATAATCTTTCCAGTAAAATAATTTCTTAATGTTCAGTCTGAACTTTGAGCTGCAGTTTCTGTTTCCTGTTGTTAAGTTCTCTGGCACTATCAAGAGCAGGTACAGACTACCTCTTATTCAGAGAGAAAGTATTTCCACCAATGGAGAATGTGGTCTTAAGCAGATAGACACAAATTTGTCAGAAGTGATTCAAAATTGGAGGAAATTTCTCTGTTACTGGAGTGGAACTCTGAATCGGAGTCAGAAAGGAGATCAGAGAAAGGTAAGACAGCAAATGGACTATAAGGTGAAGCTTTAATAAATTTCTGAATGGTAATCAATAATCTCTTGGTTAAGGTATGGAAGATTCTTAGATGCTGTGATTAGTTCCTAGCTCTCTGTTCTGCAGTCACAACTTTCTCTTCTAATTTTCCCTGTATAATAAAACAAGTGCATTGCAAATGTTTGTGCAATACCCATTAGATGCCACAGGAAATGTTTATATTTGCAATGATTATTGGAAATGTTAACACACAGCAGTCCAAGTGCTATTTTCTAGAAGTCCCACTAACCAAATATATCATGAATGTGAGAGTGGTATACAGGAGTGTAAAAGTAAATCAGTATCAGAGGGTAAGTTTTTTACTCATAGCAAATAGTCCCCTGGAATTTCTTACAAACCCTGTATGGAGATAAATACCCATTGTGAGAACAAGAGATTTTTTTTTCTTTCAGGGATATTTTCAACAAAGCAGAGAAGTTTCTTAATATCAGCCATAAAATGCATACAGAATCCATTTTATAGACAGTCTAAGATATGATTGTTTCTAGGAATGATTTCTTTCTTGTGGGTGACCTTGTAGAGTATTATTCAAGACAAGTTTTTTCAGTGCTGAAATGGAGTTATAAATATGTCTAAACTTTATATATATTTATAGGTATTACGAAAATAATAATTCTGATGTTAGCTCTGAATGGAAAGGAGATCAACTTTGATTACTTGCCAAATGCTACTGAGTATTAGAAGCCATGGAAGTTATTTCTTTTTAGTAAATTTCCTCATTTTATGGGCTCTCAGGAAAGAAATTCATATTTTCAGACATTCTCCTTTTCCTCCTTCTTTCTTTTCAGTCTCCTCTTTATCTCTGGCACTAAAACATCCTCTTTTCAGAGCCATTATTTTATTAATGCATGATTATGCATTTCTAACACTGCTTTCCTCAGCTTCTGTCTGAATACCTTTATTCAAGTCTCTATCTTACAATTTGAAGTTTCAATATAAAAATGAAATGGAACAGTTTTTGTATTTTTCCCCTTCAAGAAGTAAAATAAATAAATAAAGAGGTCACACAACATTGTATGCAGGTGTTCCTGTGAGAAACAATTGATGTTATTATATAAAAGGAAATGGAATGAGATGAGTTTTACTGAATCCCTTAGGGAAATCATTCAATGTGCACTCTTATCAAAGTCTAATAATGGCCTGGCTGCTGCTTGTTTGCTTTGATGAAGCTGATAATAACAAATCTACATTTATTTGCATTTCTTCTGCTAGAATTCACTGAGGCATTTCCAAATGTAATTTTAAAGTATTAGTCTAACATATGTAGATTTTCAACTCACAATAAGTAGAAAGAGATCAAACACAAACTCAAGAGACACAGTTCTTCTGGGGGCTGTACATGACCACCATGACTACTAGTGAACATTCTTTTTGAGAGGCACCAAGTTCAGAGGTAGTTAACACACCAAGGATCTTGTAATCTACCCTGGCACAAGCTGAGAGGGAAAAGCCAGCTGATCTATAAGAGATTTAGTGCAGCCCCCTCTGGTACTTCGCAGCTATGAGCGGTTATATTCAGAACTGGATGTTCAGATGGATTTGCAGAACTCTCCCAGAATTTTCCCCC